TCCACTGTACCCCCAGAGAAGTGTGCCACGTTTCTTTATCTCAGAATGGCTGGGCATCTGGGAACATACCTTCCAAAGCACTTTCACATCTATTGTGTTTTATCTAAAAGCAGGCATGGCAGGTCAAAGACAGACTCTCCCACAGTCAAAGAAGTCAGTGGCAAGGCCGTTTGAACCTGGTACTGACCCCCAAGGAGAGCTGCGTGAGGCAGGGTGGTGGTTTCAGGAGTGAACCAGGGGATCTTTTGGCACCTCTGGATGAGGCAGAAAAGACAGTCAAGCTGAAACCCCAAGGGGTAGGCTGGGGATAGCCGCAGAAGGCCTGGCCCGGTCTCTCCAGTCCCCTAAAGATTCTGCAGCTGCCAACAGTTGTGATGGGCTCTGGGCCTGAATTCTAACGAGAGAAAACTACACAATTTTTATAATTTTACAAAAGTTTATCATTTTTATCTGACATTTCCAAAAAATCTCTGAATCTAAACCAGGTTCTATCACCATCATTCTCCCTTCCAACCCAACTAGAGAGTGTGGGTGGATTGAGAAAGAACAGAAAAGAAAGATCAAAACTGTGACAAGCCTCTGACAACATTTTAACTTGAAAATTGCCTGCAAATGGGAGGCGTAATCCCATGTGGGCAGATGTAAGTCAGGCGTGTGTCTGCTCAGTCTCCTCCATAGCTCTTGACAAACACCTGGAAGGCACGTCCCTGGACTCGACCGTGGGTCTCGGAAAGATGAACCCTCCTCGGCCGGCCTGAGGCCCAGTGTCCCCAGCACACTCCCGGGGCCTGTGTCCTGCTGGCGGCCTCACCTTCTGCTGCCCCCGTTGACAGCACCCCTGCCCCCCTCCCCTGACTGCCCTGGGCCCAGCGTCGCCCGCGGGCGCTCAGGAAGTGCTCGGGAGGAAAAGTCAGGAGATGGGGCTCCCGGGGGCCTGCTCCTTCCCACCCGAGCCCGCTCTGGGCGCTTCCTGGCCATTAGACGCCGGGCCAGATGGCAGAAATCTCTGTGTGGCTCTCAACACACACACACACTTCCCTGGGCGAGGCAGAGACGCATGGATGCTTCTGCATCGAGCCTTTCCTCCTGGTGGGGGAAAAAACCCTTCCCTCAGAGAACACGGGCTCCTCATGCCCGTCACCTGTCCCCCCCGCCCCAGAGCCCCTCTCCAAGCCCGACTCACGGGAGGGCAGGGGCCTGTCGGGGAGGTCCGCCAACTTGCCCTTTCCCCTCTGGCGAAAGACGGGGTGTAGCCAGAGCCCCTCGAAAGGGGCCTGCACACCCAGGCTCCATGCTCTGCACGTCCAGCCCTCTCCTTAGAGTCTGAAAGTCGTCCGACGTTCTCCCGCTAAATCTGAATAATTTTGCTAGATAGAATATTCAGCCTTTTAAATATCTTTCCACTCCCCCTGGCCTATAATTCTCCCTTTATTCTTCCCCTTTCTGCTGAAAAATCAGTTGATAGTCTTATGGGGGTTCCTTTGTCTTAGCTGTTTTTTCTTGATGCTTTTAAGACTGTCTGTTTATGACATGTGCCATTCTAATCATAATACATCTTGGTGTGGATCTCTTTGTGCACATCTTGTTTGGAACCCTCTGTGCTTCCTGCACCTGGATGTCTGTTTCATTCCCCAGGTTAGGAAGAATTTTAGTGATTATCTCTTCAAATAAATTCTCTCTGGAGAAACAGACATAAAGAACAGACCTATGAACATGGGGGGAGGGGAGGAGGGGGCGTGGTCATCAGACTTCCGGTAGTGCGCTTTCCACCTTCCAGAGGAGAGGGGGCCCCGAGGGGGCAACCTGCCTCACTGCAGAGCTTAGGCCTCCTACGTTCCTTCTCCCCTAACGCGGCCTCCGCCGGGGGCACAGGCTGTCCCAGAGCTCAGGCAGCGCGTGGGTCCGGCACAGAGCTCGGGGAGAGCCCTCACCACAGCGACAGCCCCCGGGACCGGCCACGCTGGGGGCGTGCGTGCGTGACGGGCCAGGAGGTGATCTCGGCCCAGAACACCTTCCTGACGCACCTTCCCTTAGGGCCTGGTGTCGAGGCAGGCCGCGGCGGGCCGTTCCTCCTGCCCACGCCGCTGGCTTCGATGAGCCCCCGGGTTCCTGTTTCTCCATCCCAGTTGAGAAGGCCCGCTTCCAGCTCTGGGGTCCCACGCCCAGCCCGGTGGGCCGCGGGGTGGCCTCTCGTCTCCTCTCACTTCCCAGGCCGCCCTCATCCCTGCGCTGCCGGGGTCTGTCTCCAGAGCTTGCCCCCCGTTGGTACATGCATAACTGGGGCTGGCCCACCCTCCCCCCACAGCAGGCTCCCGGGAACCCAGCTGTTTCAGGCAAGAGAAAGGCGCCTTACTACAAATGGGGAGCGTTTCAGAGGTAGGTTTTTCAGGGGAAAGGGGGCCCGCCTCTCATGGGGCAAGTGAAGGGCCAGGACGCAGCCTGAGCCGGGGCTCTGCTCACAGGCTTCCCTGGGAACCCTGGCGACACTCACCACAGAGACGGCTGGACTCTGATAGAACCCCGTGCCTGGGACAGGCTTGCGGAGGCCTGCTGCCTACCCCCGGCCCCGGGAAAGGCCAGGACAGGCCCGAGGGTCCCCGGGCTTCGAGCAGCCCTGACGTGGCCCCCAGCCGCTTGGCTCAGGGCCGGCACGCCTCTGCAGGCCCAGGGCTGGGCCGGGCCTCACGTCTCGCTGGTGCTGCTGTCACGGTGACTTTGCTTATGTACGTGAACGGTATGCACGTTCATGTGCACACACGTGTGTGTGTTCTTATACAGCCAGGGCGTGACACACGCGTCCGTCTGTGTCTGTGTACATGCACATACAAGCCTGGTTCCAGTGGGAGCCTGCACAGGCGTGTGTGGTGAAAGGGCGCGGGGCCCTCTGGGGCCCCAGGGGTCAGGGTCACGTCGCCCCGGGACTGCCCCTGCGAGGGCCCGGGGCTCAGTCGTACCTGAAACGTCTCGAGGCCCGGCTCTGTTCCTCCCCAGCCCAAACCTTTGTTACCCCGAGGCCTCAGCTAAAGGCTGGAGGGACGGGTCTCTCTGTGGCCTCCCCCGCAACTTGGTCAGGAGGATTCAGCCTTTGTGCTCTTGGCCGCCTCAGGCCCCAAGCCGACCACCATTCCGCCGCCTGCCCGCAGCCAGCACAGGCCAGCGTGGGCGGGGTGGGAGCGGCCGGCGTGGGTGGGGTGGGCCGCGCGTCGGTCTCTGCGGCTCCGGTCCTGGCTGTCCGAGAGAGCCCCTGGGAACCGCCACCGTCCGCGTCCACCCGCGTCTCTGCGGCAGGGGCTCGGGGGTCGTCCTGCGTCCCCTCTCTGCAGCCAGCCCGGAGGACCTCTGATGGGCGGCCCCGTGAGATGCCGCCGCCGCGAGCCCGGCCTGGTTGGGGTCCTCACACAGGCATCTGTTCAGTAGGACTGGAGATGAGCAGTGCAACCCAGCGAGCGAGGAAAACAGGAGGTCTCCTGTCTTCAGCAGAGCGGTGGGAACATGGCGTGATTTCTGATTTGGTTGAAATAGTTCATCCAGGTTTTGGATTTCACGGTCAGATAAACCTGGGGTTTTCAGTTCACGTCTGCCGTTAACAAGCTGAGGGCTGGGACAGGTGCTGAGCCTGTCTGTTCAGAGGGGTCTGCTCTCTCTGCTGTCCAGTCACCTGTCCTCCTGGGGCTGCGTGAGGGTCCCCTGCAGTTTCTCCTGTTCCAACTGGGCCTTGAGTGTGCCTCTGCGACTCGAGTCCTGGCCTGGCTCTCCCTGGGGCAGCCTGCTCTTCCCGGCCGCCCCCCACCCCCTGCTCCAGGCTTCTCCAGAACAGAAGGGGGGCACCTGCTCCTTGGTGGAGGGGGGCAGGGCCCAGAGACAGTGTCAGAGCAGGAAACCGCCCCCCCCCAGTGGGAACGGGGGAAGGGGATGACTCCACGGGAAGGCAGTGTAGTCTCTATCCACACCCCCCATCGATGCCAGATTCCTGCGGCCACAGGGAGGGGGCGAAGAGGGCAACAAGGGTGTCAGGGAGGCAGGAGCCTGCTCCCCACGCTGAGGGGGCCCGGGGGCGCCTCCTTCCTTTGGGATGCACATGGACGTGTGTATTTTGCTGCAAGCAGACAGCCTGCTCCCTGGGAAGAGGGGCACCGTGGAGCCCACCCACCCACCGCGGCCCCAGGCAGACAGGCAGGCCGGCCGTCTACCTCACAGCTGACACACCCACAGGCGTGTGGTAGGCCTGACTGTGGGCAGGGGAAGGAGCTCAGACACCATTCTCACCGGACAAGCTTAAAACACAATGTGGCTCATTTTTATTTTATCTCAGAAAAAAAAACAACAAAATGATATTCCCTTCAGAAGGCAAGGCAGTTAGAGAGGGCCTCTGCCTGGGCGGCTCGGAGCCACCTAGACTCACCCCTGCCGGCCAGCCCTGACTGCCTCCCTGTGCCCTGGGCCCCTCGGCTACAAGCCCCGGCCTCGAAGCGGACGCGCGCCGCCCCTCAGGGCAGTGGGGGACGCCAGGGGCCAGGTTAGCAGCAGGACTGGAACAGAGCCAGCAGCCCGGGAGGGAAGGTAAAATAAAAAGGGTTTCCTCAGGCTTTCCTTTTCTCCTGGGAAGAAACAACAACAGTCCACGCCACCGCCAAGCGCAGCAGCTCTAAACCCTTGGAAAGCCTGGGGGAGGGGGCGGGGAGGAGGAGTGCGGCAGGGTGCCCTTTGGGGCCATTCCCCAGCCTCAGGCCAGCCGGCCTGCTCTGCGGAGACTCGGCGGCACTTGGAGCAGGGGCTGGGGGCTGGCGCTGGCCTGGTGCAGGGCCGCCTCCGTGGGCCCCAGACCCTTCCTGCTGGGCTTCATGCTGCCCCAGCCGGCGGGGGTCACTCCTCGGTCCAAAGTGGGAACCGACCACAAGAAAGGGGGTCTCCGCACATGCACTCTGCTCCCAGAGCCACTGGTCCTCCCAAGCGGGAGGAGAAAGTTCCTTCCCTTCTGAAGGGGTGGACTCGGCGGGTCCTCAGGATACTCCCGCTCCGCCCCGGGGGCCCCGGGGGCCCGGGGACTCTGGGTGCCCGCCCTGGAGCTGCACGTCCCGCTGGGACCCGCTGAGCAGCGCCAGGGCGGGGCCATCGGGCCGGGGGGCGCTGCCGTTGGCCCAGACGCTGCCGGGGGGATGGCCGTTGAGGCGGAGACCCACGCGCTCCGCGTCGTGAGCCGCCAGGGCGCGGGCACCGGGGCCCCCCGCCTTGCAGGGCTCGCGCCGCTGCCGCCGCCGCAGCACGTGGCTGCGCACGATCCTGCGGAAGGTGTGGCGGAACTCGCGGATGCGGTAGGCGTAGATGAAGGGGTTGACCACCGAGTTGCCGTGCGACAGGACGATGGTCAGGTACATGAGCCAGGCCGGGGCGTGGCCACACGAGGGGCAGAAGAAGGTGAAGCAGTTGATGACGTGCAGAGGCAGCCAGCACAGGGCGAAGAGCCCCACGATGATGGCCAGCGACTTGGCGGCGTGCACCTCCTTCTGCAGCGTGGACCGCGCCCGCTCGCCCGGCGGCGGCGGCTGGCTCTCCGTCTGCTTCAGCTGCCGCCGCGCCGCCAGGAAGATGCGCAGATAGACGCCCAGCATGAGCAGCAGCGGCACCAGCACGCAAGCGAAGAAGTTGTAGTAGACCATGTAGTCCATGGGCACCACGTCCTCGAAGAGACAGGCCACCTGGCCCGCCCTGCAGGCCTGGGAGCCGTTCCGGCCCTCCTGCTGGCTGCAGTTGTTCCAGCCCAGCATGGGCGTCAGGCCGATGGCGAAGGACAGCACCCAGCAGATGGCGATGATGCCCTTGGCCCGCGTGCCCGTCACCAAGCCGTTGTACCTGGGGAGAGGGGACCGGCTTCAGAGAGGAGCCTGGGCACCCGGGTAGGAGGGGCCCCGCGCCGGCAACCGGCCCCGCCGCCCCGCCCACCGGCTCAGAGGTCTTGGACCAGGCGCTTCCTGCCTCCCAGTCTGTGTCCTCTGATGCCTGCAGTCCTTGACTTGGTTTGGTCTGAAGGAACTAATGTGACTTGGGAAGGGGGAGGGGAGAAGTTATAACCTCCATGTTGATCTTAGGCGCCGCTAGAATGGATTTCCCTGGAGCGTGGGAATGGCCAGCAGGCTGCTTGCTGGCTGGGGACAGCCTGCCAGATCCAGACTGTTGGGGGGGTCACACCTCCTGCGTTCCGTGCTGTCTGTTTCCTACTTGGCCTGGGGGTCCCCAGAAGGGCCCCCCCCCGGGACAGGTAGCACAGGCGGGAAGGGGAAGGGTGGAGGTCCCAGGCCAGATGAGATGCTCATCTCCCTTCCAAGTCCACCCACAGCCCTCTGGAGAGAGGCGAGGTCAGGATGTCTTAACATCTGCACAGCAGCCTCCACATTCAAGAGGACGCAGTTGCTCAAGATGGTAAGGTCCAGGGAGGAGACGTAACCTGGCCCGAATCACTCCTCACCCCGGAGGGCCACACTCGGGGAGAGGACGGACCCGCCGGCCCAGAAGCTGACGCCAACGAAAAGAGATGGCAGGGCCTTCCCTAATGGCCCCAAGACACCAAGCTCTCAACGCAGGGGACCTGGGTTCTATCCCCAGTCAGGGAACTAGATCCCACGTGCCACAGAGACCTCGAGTAGCCAAATAGATCAATTTTTTAAAAAAGACGGCAGAAAAAAAAAAATAATAAAATAAAAAATAAAAAAGACGGCAGAGATTTTAAAGAACAGGCAGTCAAGAAAACTCATCTCCCAGACTGAGGAGGGCGACCTCAGTGTTCCGATGGATGACCTGTGCTTCAGGGGTTGGGTTCCCCGACACCTCTACCAGTAAAGCCCACCCATCCTTTTAAAGTTCAGGTCAGCTATCTTTCCAGAGGAGTATCAAGCTAAACGAATCCCACCCAAGCTGGGCTCCCAAGGCTGGGGGCCCCGTGGATCCTGAGTCCATCTCTGCATGACCATCACTGAGACAGGATGGAATAGGTGTCGAGGAGAAACACGCTTCCCTTAATCCAGGGTTAGAAGTTTCCACAGAAACCAGCTCAAGGGGCAGCAGACACGCGGGGCCTGCAGGTCACGAAGGGGCGAGGCAGGCAGGCTGCCGGATGTCACCGAGTGTGCAGGAGGCTCCAGACACCGCCTAGCCACCCCCGCGCCCCCCACCGCCACACACGCCTGCCCCGCGCTGCAGGATCTCGGGGGCCGGGAGCTGACTGTTCTGGGTAAAATCGCCCATGGGTTAAATTTTGTCAGCTGATTCACACTAAGGAAAAAAGGAAACCTGGTAGCCTCTGACCTCTCATCTAACCATTCATTCTCTAGGTGGGGAAACTGAGACGCCAGGAGCGGCGTGGCCTTGCCGTAGACATTCCAGGAGTCCAGAGGCTACTCGGGCCAAGGTGAGTTTGTCAGTTCTGGACCCAAACAGTGCCTGAGCAGGACCCCACTCTCCCGAGCTCTGGGGCCCCAGTCACTGCGGGCTTGGGTGCCTCCGGCAGGAAGAGGCCACGGGCTTGCCCAGTTCGCCCAAGCCACAGAAAGTCTACACTGCCCTATTTCCAGTTCTGCAGCTTCAAGTGTAAGGTCAGAGGTTTTTCTTCCCCCGTTTAATTCTTACATAGCACCTGATGTGTGCTAGGCACTGTCTCTAGCGCTCTGCAAACAATAATTTATATAATCTCATTGAATAGGAGGCGATTTTAATGCTGACATTTTTCTGAAGAAAAGCATACCCCTCTCTGGGTTCTAGCGCTGGTGTGTTCCTATTTAGCCACATTCTGTCACTCAGCCTCAGTTTTCTCGTCTGCAAAACGGGACTCAGAACGCGGGGCCTGGAGCGCTGTCCCGTGAGGACAGAACGGAGAGTCAGTGGGTGGAAACCACAGGCAGGTGGGTTCAGGGTAAGGGAGCTGTTCACAGGAGACACGGGCCGCCTCGGGCAGGAGTGAGCCTCCTGCCATTGGAGGCAACCAAGCAGAGGCCAGCCTTCTCACCTGCAGTCCCAGCGTGCAGCTGCTGAGGGGGACGAGGCTTACTGACATTCCCTGAGTGAACCTGGGGCCCAGCCTGACGGCTGCTGGGGACACGGGTTAAAGAGCCCGTGCCGTCCAGCTGTCTCCATGCAGACGCGGAAACCCAGGAGAGGAAGTCTGCCGCTGCAGGCTGTGAAGGAAGCCCCTCCTGGGGACAGGAGCAGACACCGGTGGCACGCGTCTGGGCAGAGGATGTCTGGAGGAGGCCCGGCCCCGCCCTCCCGGAAGGCGGTGGGGCGGGGGGCGAGGGCCCAGCTCCTCACCGGGCTTGCTTCTCTGCCTTTTGATGTTTTAATACATGCAGTTCTTATTTAAGGAGCGCCCAGACAGATTAACCTTGTTACTCAAAAGAAAGCCTCTTAGGCCGAGAGCCCTGGACCCAGGCTCCCAGGGGACCGGGTCAACATTTGGGCTCAAATGGGGCGCCACAGCCGCGCCCCAGCCTGGCCCAGTGGCAGCCCCTGGGCTGTGTCTGTGACCGAGGCGGTCTCGTCCTGCCCCGCGGGGCCTCAGACAGCCTGCCTGCTGGGCGGGGGTGTGCCCAAGCCAGCCAGCGCTGCGCAGTCCTGGGGGCCCCCATCTCTCCCACTGGGGGCTTACCCTGTGACCCATCATACCGCCCAGTTCTCGGTGGGACTCAGTGCCAATCTGCCCTTCAGTCAGGAGAAAGCAGAGCTCTCCCCAGTCATCCAAAGGCCCGCGGCTGAAACCCACCCTCCCTCCCAGGTGCGGGCAGGCCTGAGCCGCCTCACAAGCCCCGTGGGCCGTGCACCTGTCCCCTCTCCCTGCCCAGGGCCCGTCCACAGACTCCTTCCTTCCCCGGGGCGTCTGTCCAGGCGGGACCCCCCGTTACACCTGCCCCCCCACACCGGCATGCATCCCCCGGTGCGCCCCCGGCAGGCTCGGCGTCATGCCCTGCGGGGAGCGCTGTCTCCATGCCCGCTCAGAAGCCAGGGCGCTGGGGTCTGCCCTCTGGGGCGATCCAGCACCCAGGCCGGGACTCTGCGGCCCCACGGGAGGCTGCTCCCTGGGTCTGGAGAGAGCAGTCGCCGGGGGCTGAGGAGAGAGGAGGGAGGCAGCCCTGAAGTGTCCCCAGGAGTCTGTCCGCTGGGGACGCGGAGTGCACCCGTCCCTACCTCTGGGCAGGCTCTGCGTTCGCTCAGCAGGGCCCGTGCACACGGGAGGCGCACGGAAATCTTTCTGAAGCGGCATTATTCTTTTTTTAAAGAGAAATTAACGGTGAATGGTGTGGGCCTGCGGGCACCTTAGAGCATCGTCAGAGGCTGGACTTCAGAGCAGCCAGCGGGCCTCCTGAGCGGAGCAGGAAACAGCACACGGGCTGGGCTGGCTTCCGCTGGAGAGGGCAGGGACGGGCGTCCCGAGCCGGGCAGCGGCCCCAGAGCTGCCAGGAGCTCCAGGTCCCGCCTGCCTCTGTCTCGTCCCCCTCACGCCCGGCCTGTTCTCGGGCGCCCCAACAGACAGCGTCCCACGCCTTGTCCCCTGGCCCTGGCATCCCAGGGCCCTTGTGTCCCAGGGCCAGGAGACACTTTTCCTTCGGAGCAGCTGCTGCCATCCTCCTGGGCAACAGGAGGGTCACAGCCGCCGCCGGCCATGTCGCCGGCCGGGGACGAGCGGAGACGTGAGTTCACATCCTCTGGTGGTGGTGGTGCCCGGCCCCGGAGGGACGAACATCACCTCCACCGTCAGCCCACGGCTGCCTGACGCGGGAGCCAGGCCGGTCCATCCTCCTGGGCAACAGGAGGGTCACAGCCGCCGCCGGCCATGTCGCCGGCCGGGGACGAACGGAGACGTGAGTTCACATCCTCTGGCGGTGGTGGTGCCCGGCCCCGGAGGGACGAACATCACCTCCACCGTCAGCCCACGGCTGCCTGACGCGGGAGCCAAGCCGGCCCCTCCAGAGCCCTGCCTCATGGAGCTCAGATGGCTGAGGTCGGGGTGGGACTAGGCCCCGTTCCTGAAGGGCACAGGGCCCGGGAGGCAGGCAGGGCTGGGGAGGGGTGGCCAGGCCACAGCTCTGAGCCCCCAGAAGCTTCTGGAAGGCCCGAATCCCATCCTCCCACAGGGCCCCGCCACTCCAGTCCACTCACTGGGCCCTCGAAACGCCTTTGTGAGCGCCAAGGGCGAGAGACCCGGCCCCTGGAACCGATGGAAAACGAGCCCAGAGAGGGGCAGCGGACTCCCCACCGTCACACAGCGCGGGCCACCCACTTGCACCAGGGAGGGAGGCTGGGACTTCTGAGTCTCAGAGAACAGACAAGAAAAAGAAGCCATGGACCTCTCTGTTGCGATCAGCAGCCCTGATCGCCCCCAGACCCGCTGTCCCTTGCTTGAATCAGGGCCACAGCGGCCCTGGCCTGGAAGGGGATGTCAGTCAGACCAACCTCTGTGTCCTGGACCAGCCTGGACTCCAGCCTGCCATTCAGGCTGGTCCTCGGTTAGGGCCGGGGTCGCCTTTCCTTCTGACGAGGGTCCTAGGCTCTCACGGGACGCGGGCGTCTGCTGTCCCCCAAGACCCCCGGGGGCAGTAACAGCCGCCTGACCAGGGGGCCGGCGGCAGGCGTGCTCCTTCCCAGACCCGGTCCTGCCGTGCTGCCAGCTTGCAGCGTGGCCCCGGGGGCTGACGCTTCCGTTGCTTTCTCACCCGCATGATGAGAGCAAACGACCTCTAAGCGCGCCCTCGGGTTTCACACGCACCCTTTCCACTTGCTCATCGAGCCTCTGCCCCATGCTGGCTGGGGCGCCCTCAGCCCAGCGTGGGGCTGCTCCGGAAGTAGGCGCCACCTGTGCGCATTCACCACCTCCCTCGGGCCTGCCGCCGTGGAACAGAGGGGCAGAGAGGCAGGGCCGAAGCCCCCGGACGCCTTCAGGGGTGAGGTGGGGAGGGACGCTTCCTAGCCCAGCCAGGGTGGTGGTGGTGTGGGTGGAGGCTGCATTTCAGTGAACTCAGCCTCGGAGAGAGTCTTTGTTTCCACAACACTTGCCTGAAGTCATTTCACAAGTTTCACCAGGAAAGCACCCAGTGACTGAGAAACACAATTTGCATAGAGGTCCAAGTGACTCACAGGCATCTGGCCAAGTCACTTCCCCTCGGGGTCATTTCCCTAACTGCAAACTGCAGGCTGGCCCGGAGGGGCTGGAAGAAGGCGGCTTCCAGCGGGGCCCTGTGGTTTCCCGTGGGGCCCGCCCCACCCCAGCATCAGCTGCGTGAGGGGAGGCTCAGATGCAGCCACCCCAGGCCTGGACACACGGGTCACCAGGAGCTGCAGCTCGGCAGCCTCTCCCAGGTAGCCCTGGGGGTACCAGCCCGGCCCACGCCCATGGCGATCAGCTGGCGTCACACAACTGCTGGCCGTGCCAAGCCCTGGGCAGCCCCACGGCCCCGTCCCCGTCAACACACTGACACCAGACCAAACCCTGACCCCCGAGTTCACCCTGATCCCGGGTTCACCCTGACCCCCGAGTTCACCCCAATCCTGGGTTCACCCTGACCCTGGTTCACCCTGATTCCTGAATTCACCCTGACCCCCGAATTCACCCTGACCCTGGGTCCACCCTGACCCTGGTTCACCTGACCCCTGAGTTCACCCTGACCCTGAATTCACCCTGACCCCTGAGCTCACCCTGACCCCCGAATTCACCATGACCCCCGAGTTCACCCTGACCCCTGGTTCACTGTGACCCGAGTTCACCCTGACCCCTGAGTTCACCCTGACCCCTGGTTCACCCTGACCCTGAGTTCACTGTGACCCCCAAGTTCACCCTGACCCTGGTTTGCCATGACCCCTGAGTTCACCGTGACCCCTGAGTTCACCGTGACCCCTGAGTTCACCCTGACCCTGGTTCACCCTGACCCTGGTTCACCCTGAGCCTGAGTTCACCCTGACCCTGGCTCACCCTGACCCTGGTTCACCCTGACCCCTGGTTCACCCTGACCCTAAGTTCACCCTGACCCTGGTTCACCCTGACCCCGGCTCACCTGACCCCTGAGTTCACCCTGACCCCTGGTTCACCCTGACCCTAAGTTCACCCTGACCCCGGCTCACCTGACCCCCGAGTTCACCCTGACCCCCGGCACAGCCCCTCATGGGTGCGGCCCTGCATGAGGCACCCCTGGGAGCAGGACTCACCGGAGCGGGATTCGGATGGCGATGTAGCGGTCAATGGCGATGGCCAGCAGGCTGAAGATGGAGCTCTGCGTGAGCACCAGGACGAAGCAGGCAAAGAAGAGGCAGCTGTGGCAGGCGGCGCAGAAGCCGGTGCTCAGGGTCACGGCGAAGGGGATGGCGAGCACCCCCACGGCGATGTCGGCCGCGGCCAGCGACGCCACGAAGTAGTTGGTGACGTTCTGCAGGTTGCTGTTGAGCCACACGGCCCAGCACACCAGCACGTTGCCCAGGATGGCCAGCACGGCGATGGCCAGCTCCACCGCGATGTACACCGCGAAGCCGGACATGGCGCGCGCGGCGGCCGGCGGGCGGGCTCAGCGAGGACGCGGGCCGCGCCAGCGCTCGGTCCATAGCTGCGGCGCGGCCGGCCCCGCCCAGGCCCCGACCCCTTCTCCGCAGGAGCCGGGTGACCCTGCCGTCAGTCGGGGGGCTCCCCCAGCACTCTTCACCGCCCACGGCGCGTCTCCAAAAGGCAGGCCCCCTCCAGGCGCTCCGGCGGCATCTCTCAGCTCTGCTTCAGGTCCTGAGACACCTGCCAAGAGAGAAGGCTCGTGAGGAGCTGGACCTCGGGGCACGGGCAGCCGCCCGCCCCCCACCCCCGCCAGGCAGGCATCGGCCCGAGGACGACCCACCGTGCCCCGGCCCTCCCCGAAGGCGGGGGTCAGCCCGAGTCTTCTCCCAGAGAAACCAAGACCTCGCAGAGGTGAGTCGCTTCTGTGCCCCCCACCCCCCCGGGCTCAGCTCGCTTCTCGAGCCTTCTGTGGCAGCCCCGCCACCCCTCCCCTGGAAACCCCTGGGTCTGCCGGGACCACCCTCCTTGCTCAGCCGGCTGGCTCCATCCTTGAGAGCCAGAAGCTGCCCAGAGGCTCCCACCGCTGGGCGCCCCACTGGGAGTGCAGCCGCGGTGCTGGAGCGCTCGGAGGGGGCCGCCCCCCAGCAGCCCCCGCCGGCTGCTGCGCATCTGGGCGGGGCGCTCCTCAGCCCCGCCCGCTGCCTCCTCCCACGCCCGCTCCCAGCCCCTCCTCCACCCGCGGGGGTGCTCGGCCCGGACGGGGGCACCGGCAACTGTTGTACCTGTCCGGGCCTCGGTCTCCCCACTGACACAGGGGGGAGGCTGGACCCCCGTGATTCTATGAGCAGAAAACGAACACGCATGAAACAGCTCCCCGCCCAGTCAAAATACCCTGGTGTCAAGAATCCGGGACGGCACTCTGCAGAAGCAGCCCGCCTCCCAGGGACCCCCTGAGCTGGTGGAACGTCCCCTCTCCCCCCGCCACTCAGAGGCCTCCTTCCGCCACCTCTGCTTCCCGGTCACATTCCCTCGTGCCGCCCGGCAGGGTCCCCAGTGCCAAGTCCACCCTCCTCCCGCCCAAAGCTCCCCTGCCGGAGCTCCAGGTGCGCACGGCCAGTGGTGGCCGCGGGCCACGGGGACAGAAAGCCTGAAGGTGCCCGCACGTGGGCTGGGGGCTGCCCCGCCCTCTCTCCTCGAGGGATCAGATGGACAGCCCACCTTGGGAGAAGGCTGCTCGTGGCCCCTGGCTGCTTTCAGAGGGCCGGGTCCCCTCACCCCGTCCAGGAGGTGCTGTGCCGCCTCTACAGAGGATCCCCCTGCTTCCTTCTGACCGCCCCTCTCTTCCGGCGGTTGCGGCCGGTGGTGGTCACCCCGTGACACAGAGCAGGAGAGAGAAGGCAGGGCCCCCGACAAACCGAGGTGTCCCTGCGGACTGCGGGGTCTCCCACCGAGCCCCTGCTTCCCACACAGCACGTGCTGGCCAGCAGCAGAGATGGGGTGGACCGACCCTCCTGGTGCCACCTCGGGCCAAGCGGTGTCCCTTGCTGCTTCTGCCGGCAGCCGGGAGCAGCAATCCCCTGGGGCGCCTGACCGCTGAAGCCCCGCCTCCAGGTCTCGCGTCCTCCCACCGCAGCGAAGGGGCAGGCTCCCTTCTGGGGGGCCTCCCGGGTCCAGCGCTGGGCCCCGGGGACCTGTGTCCCCCCACCAGTGAGCCACTGGCCTCCTGCCGACCCCCTGCCATCCTTCATGTCCTGCCTCGGCTCCTCCAGGGGAAGCTGCGTTGGCGGTGCACGGCCCACACTGGAAGCCTGACTCTGCTGGGACCACCTCCCAGACCAAGGGTCCTGGGGCCAGCAAGGTTTCTGGGGAGCTGAAGCTGGACTGTCTGGGCCCACTGCCTGGAGCCCCAGTGATGGGGGAACACAGCCAGCACCTGTGTGTGGATGTTGGCTGACCCCACGAGAGCCAGGATGCTTGGCCCAGAAGGGCCTTGGGACCCCTAAGCCAAGCCCTCTGGTGAGCACCCCCCGGGACCTCTAATCTGCAGGGCGTCCCCATCACCTTCTGCACCTGGGGCGCCCAGGCCTCGCGGCACTTGGGGCCAAGCTGGAGCCACCCTCCTGCCGTCCACCAGTGGCCAGGGGCGCCCTCCCTCCCAGGTCCACTCTCGCGGAGCCAGCGCGCCCCTGTGCCCCGGGCTCCCGTCTGCCTCCCGCAGCTGCGAGCACAGCCCCAGCCACACAGACCACTGGGCGTTGGCCAGACCCGGCCCTCCAGCTCCCAGCAGGGCGCGCGAGGGGCGCCCGGGGCAGGCGGGCTGGAGGCGGCCGCAGCATCCCAGTCGTCAGACCGCAAGTCAGCCTGGGCCCTTTGCCGGACTTTGCTGGGTATCAGTGCCCCCGTGATGGCCTGTTTCAAGCTGCTCCTGTGTCACTGACAGGAACTGGGAATCAAGGCGCACAGCTCGGGAGAACCAGGCTCCAGCCCCCCGCTGACCACCCAGACCTGTGTCCCCCCGCCGGGACCACTCCCCGGGCTCCACCCCAGAGCCCAGGCTCGGGAGGCCTGCTGGGGAGCTCAGGAAAGGAGGCTGCAGGGGCTTAGGGGCCCCCATGAGCCTTGCTGGGGAAATGCCCATGGAAAACGCCAGCAAGGAGGCTTCCTGGGGCCTTGGGCACCTGCCCGTAGCCCCACCTCCAGAGGCTTCCCAGAGCCACTGGAAGGTCAGAGGCCCCGGGGCCCGGGGCTGGGGCTGGGACCCAGATCTGGCAACTTCCTATCCCACTCTGTTGGCCCTCGTTAATCCTCGAGTCATCTGTCGCTAGCCAGGAGGGGCAATTAAGTATTAATGATGCAGCATTTCCTTGTGATTGTCGCCGGCCAGGGACAGGGCAGGGGGCAGAAGCCATCCATGGCAGGCCAGGTCACGTGCCGGGGAAGCAGTATGCTGAGCCTGGGGAGGGCAGCCCCACGGGGTTCCCCGGCAGACAGGCTCCATCCAGCCTTCCTCCTTACCCTCACCAGCCTGGCCGCTCTGATTAAAACCTCTGTGTAATCACAACCCACACGCTTCCCGGCTCCTGGTCCGTCCCACCGGTGAGGCTTTCTGTACACACACCCAGATGGCGGGTGGCCCCCCAGGGCCTGCTGGACGGAGCGCCTGGCAGCGAGCACACAGCTCCCTACACCTGCCCCCGAGGACCGCGCAGGCCGGGGTACTGCCTGGCCTGTCGCAGCCACGCCGGGCCTCTTCCCGGGCTCCAGAGCCCCAGCCTGAGACCCCTCCACCACCTTCTCAGCAAGTGTTTCCGAGAACTTGACCCCGTGCCCAGCAGCACCCCACCTGCCGGAGCCCAGGGAGCCTGGTGCCAGCTGCTGCCCTGCCTGAGCCCACGGCTGGGGTCTTAAGGTGCTGTGGTCCTGGGAGGCCTTCCCGAGAGCTGCCGCCCACCCTGGTGTGCGGGTCACGCCCCACCTCCAAGACCTCAGGTCCGCTCAGAGAGGCTGCAAAGCGCGGTTTCAAAGCACAGGAGGAAAACTAAGGGTGAGAAAGATGAGCAACCGGTGGCCAAAACACAGGCTGATTCATTCCAGAAGAGACGGAGGCAATCCAGTAACCGAAATGACGATCAAAGGTACTTGGGGTCTTCAGAGCAAGAAAGGAAAGGCATCCCTAAAGAAGAACAAGAATCCCTGGCAGCGCTGAGAAGGACGGGCAGACACGAGCCAGAAATGAAACCCTGGAAGTAAAGCACAGAAGGGCCGAGAGGCACACAGCGCGGCGTGCGGCGTGCACACGAGCTGAGAACATCAGGGGCGTGAGCACACACCGAGAATCGTCACCCAGGCCTCACAGAGCAGGCAGTCGAGAGCCTGAAGGTGGCAACGCCGACATCTGTCTCACGGAGGGGGCTTGGTGGGCAGCAAGGGCGGGAGAGACAGCTGGGCAGCTGGCTTCTCTCCAGCCGCGAGCCCCTCGCTGTCCTTTGGGGGGCCCCGCGTCTGGGCACGAGCCTCCCTCAAGCCCCCAGGGTCCTGGGACCTGCCAGGCCCCTCTCCAAACCCACCAGCAGAGCAGTGACTCCAGCGCTGCCTGGAGGAGCCGGGGGGCCTCTTCTCTCCGGCCCTGCGGGGCTGCCAGCCCGAGGAACTCGGCATGGCTGGTCCCCAGGCGGGCACCGGCCAGCGATCCCTCCCCCAGGGCCCCTGGGGGTGCAGCCGCTGCTCTCGAGCCTGAGGGCAGGATGTGGGCAGGGGCAGGGCTGAGGGCGCTCCCTGCACTGGCCCCCGCCCCACGGGGCCTCCCCACAGCAGGCCCTGGGCCACATACAGGGCCCGTCTCCCTGCTGGGGGCCTCGGGCCACCTCCCCGTCCCCTGGTGTCCAGGCCAGACGCCGGACAGGCTGCGGGCCCGGCCCCCAGCCTCAGATGGTGCCCCTCGGCCACCTCCCCTGACACCCCGCTCCAAGGGGCCACTCCTCACACAGCGCCCCGAGTGCCCACTCCTCCAGCCCACGCTCCGAGACCCGAGCCAGGGGTGTCACCCCTGGGGGGTCATCCCTGGGGGGTCTCGGCTCCCAGACCCCTTCCGGGTGAATCAACCGGCAGGACCGGCTCCTGTGCTTGAAGAGAGCAAGGTGGCGGGGTGCTTTCCAAATGGGGACAGACTGTAGGGGGCCTGGCGTGGGAGCTGGCGGGGGGCTGGCCTGCTCAAGGGGCAGTGCCCAGGGCTCTCGGAGGCGTCCACATGGGGGATGGGGGGAGGCAGACCCCCTTCTGGGCCCGAGGCCTGGAGCGGTGCTGACGCAGCTCTGTGGGTGGATGGGGGTGGGTGGGCCAGAGTGGCCGGCTCCCTGACCCCTCAGTGGCCCCCCATGCCCGCCTGGGGTTTGCAGAGGCTACTGAGGGGCCAGAGGTGAACCCTCCTGCGAAGATGGGCAGACCTGGGAGGCGTCAGCATGGAAACCACTGCCCTGCCGGCAGGGGAGGCACCTGGGTGGCCCCCGCCTGATTCCGCCTGGCACACCCCAAGGCCATCTCTCTTCCCGGGGACGGATGGCTGGACCGACGGGGGCGGCAACTGAGGCTGGAGCTGCAGGACCCTGCCCAGCAGCTTCCCACACACGCCTGTCCTGCAGGAGCGGGTGCAGGCCGGAACCGTCTGGAAGAGCGCTCCGGGGACAGGCGCGGCTCAGAGGCGCGTCAGGGAAGGCTCGGGGGGGCCTGGAAAGCTGGAGCACCCTGCCTTCCTGACACTCATCCCCTCTGCCCCTAGAGCGAGGGCAGCCCCCCTCCACCCAGCCCCTCCCGCCCCTGTCAGGATCCTGTGGCTTCCATGCTCCGGGGGCCCTCCCATGACTGGGGGAGGCTATGGGGGGACCCCGGCCACTTTTCTCCCAACCCTGCCCGGGAGGGGAGCAATCTCCCAGGAGGGCTTCTCCCAGCATCGCAGCTCCAAGCTCCTGCCGTCCCTTCAACTTCCAGGGCAAACCCTCCTGGGGCCGCCTGCACTCCCCGGGCCCAGGGGCTGGAGCTCATCCTTCAGAAGCTCAGCTTCAGAAGGGGTCTCCTCGGGGTCGCCGAACACACACACCTCCCAGAACATCTTTTCAAGTCAGCCTTCAAGCCCTTGCCTGCCCTCTGGCCCTGCTGCCCTGGGCTCTCATGGGTGCAGAGGTTTCAGCAGACAGCACAGCCCGTAAGACCAGTCCCAGCTCACAGAGGCAGGGGTCTTGGGAGTCAGGCAGGTTAGATGGAACGAGAGCTGCTGGCAGCTTTCACATCAGTGCCGTGAGCCCCGGGGCCACGGCCCTGCACGGTGGACACTGCCTCGGGGGCCCCGCAGTTCGCAGGGTGCGATGCCCGGGAGCCAGCGCCTGCTCCCCACCTGCCGCTCGTCCACCTCGCCCTCTGCTGACAGTGGTCTCTTGTGATGAGAGACCTTGGGGCTCTGGGTCTCTTGGGGTTCCCCAGCCCCGCAAGTCTAACAGCCTCTCCCCAGGGCTTCCCAGCTCAAGCACAGGCCCCGATCTGTCCACCTCCGCCCCACAGCCCCAAAGCCCTGCGCACACCATCCCACGAGTTTCACAGGATGAGAAGGCAGATTGGCCGGGGCAGGAAGCCCAGTGAGTGGATCCAGACCAGAACGTTTGGATGTTTAGGCCTCGCGCCCCTGAAGCCGCCCACAGCCCTTGTGAGCTGCGGACTCCTAGGGGGCAGACTGGGGGACGGCTGGGGACCTGCATGTCCCAGGCCCACGTGAGAAAGGAAGCGTGCAAGCCCACAAACACTCACCTGGCCAAAGTCCTGTCTCCCGCCGGCCGTGTGCGGGGAGTCCTCCGCTTTCCCGAAGCACTGAAGAGGGAGGCCGGGTCAGCCCAGAATACGGTCTGCTCTAAGGGGACGGGCCAGTGGTCCAGGAGACATCCGGGACCTGGGAGAGCCCGGGGACCTCCAGAGGACCTGGGCGGAGCGAGGAGGAGCGGACACCTTGGGATGGGGCCTGGCCCCGGGGGGCAGAGCCTCTCCAGCCCACCCCAGGAGGAGGAGCCCCCAACACCACCCCACCTGCCCGGCCTGCTGTGTGCCCAAGAACTGTCCTTCGCGGGCCCTGGACCGGACACCCAGGGGGCAGCCCGGCTGGGCTTGGCAGTGACATGGAGGATCTAAGGGACGGTGCAGAGGCTGAGGGGGGGCAGCCTGGGATCCCCGCGGGAAAGGGGCACAGATCCCGCGGGTGGACGCAGGCTCAGGGTCGCCTGAAATGGGGAAGGGGAGCCGGCTCAGGGGGCCAGCCCCGCCGTCCCCCAGGGGTCAGCTGCGTCCAGAGAAAAGGGGGTGGGGACACGCCCTCCGCTCCCAGCTTCTCTCCTCTCCCCCGCGGAGCCCTCGGCCCCCGCCTTCCTCCCATTGTACAGTCGGGGAAATTGAAGTCTACTGCGCGGTGGCCACGCCCCAGCGCAGACATCTCCGCTCGCTGGCCTGGGCCAGCCCCCCCACCCATCCCCTGGGCACCTGGAGCCAAGCCCTTCGAGGGCCGCCACCGTTCTCTCCAGTCCCGCCTCGGCTCAGGGCGGCCCCGGAGGGCCTCCAGGACGGTCCCCACCCCGGCATCCCCCGGGGCGGGCCCCCGAGGCCGGTTCCCGCCACCAGCGCCCACCGGACGCGCCCGCGCTCAGCCGGCGCTCAGCTCCGTCCCTCGCCGCGCCCTAGGCGCTCGGACACCGTCCGCTCACCCAGCCTCCCCGGGTGCCGTTCCCGCCGCCGGCGGGGCGCGGACCCCAGCCCTCGAACCAGCTGTCGGAGCGGCGGGAAGAGACGCAGCGGCCTCGCGCCTGAAGGAGGGGGCCTGCGCCGCCCGCGCTCCCGGCCCGATGACCCTGGCCGCCCGCCTGCGACCCCAGACCCGGGGCCCCCACTGACCTGCTGCTCGAGAGCCGGCGCCCGCTGTCTCGGCGTCGCTGGGGCTCCGACTCCGCCCGCGGGCTCCCCCCGCCGGCGACTTCTAGCCCCGCGCGGTCCGCGCCCCGCCCCGCCGCCCGCCCGCCCCGCCGTGCGCGGAGCCGGGGTGCCTCGTGCGGCGGCTCGTTCCCCTCTGCGCGCCCTCCACGCTCCCGGCTCCCGCGTCCGCTCAGGCCACCTGCCTCGTCCCCTCCGACGATTCTCTCAGCCCGGGGCGCAGGCCCGCACTCGCTCCCCTCCTGCGCGAAGCCCCGGGGCGCGCCAGCCCCCGGTCACCGTATCGCCAACGGGAAGTGCCCTGTGCCTGGTGCCCTCGGCCCTTTCCACGGCGCCCGCTCCGGAAGGAGAAAGCTCAGCCTCAAACCAGGGTCCTGGGGCTGGTCCCCAGCCTTGCCCGCGCTTCCCGAGTCTGGCCGGCAGTGCGCTGGTCCAAGATTGGTCTCTAAGAAGCCGCCCCCATTCCAGTGACCCCTCTGAGCCCTCCCCAGGTCAGGTCCTTCCCCCTCCCCAACTTCTCTGAGCAAAAGGAGGAGGAGTCACCTTCGGCCTCCTCGACCCCCTGGGATCTCAGACTCTTCGCCCGGGGAGTCCTCCGTCTGCCTGCCTCACAGATCCAGGGTTGTGCGATTCCGAATGGGAACGCCCCACATCCATCCGTCTCCAGCTCAGCCACTCAAGGGGACCCCCGTTCCACCCTGACTCTGGACAGACACGGGGCCACCCCAGTTCTGAGCACAGCAGGACAAGCCGCTCTGAGGCCGGGGTGTCGCTGCCAAACGTTCGCAGGAACCGCAGGGTGGGGGCGCTGTTTGTTGGCCCCCTGGGTGGAGGCCGGGTTGGGGGGTAGCTGTCTCTGCAGCAAGCCCACAGGCTCAGGGGAAGCGAGGGAGGGAAGCAGGAGTGCAGCCTTCCCAGTTCATCCCCAGCCCCATTCAGCCAGCGGGGACCCTGCTCCCGTCTCTGCTGATGTCCAGTGGCCCCCTCCCCGGGCCCAGGGAGGCACAGAAGGAGTGCTGCGGGCTCCCTCTCCCCCTCCCCTGCACTCACCTCCCCTGCCGGCTTTGGGGGGCCCCTCGCCTCACCTGGGGAGCAGGGCTGTTGTCTTTCTGTCCTGCTGCCCCCGGAGCTGACCCTCCGGGCCCTCGGCTTCCCTCCCTGGCTTCTAGGCCCTCCCGTGGGACAAACTCCAACAGGGGGACAAAAGCCTTCCGCCCACGCCATGGGCCCGAATTCACTCAAATCCTCACTCAGCAGACATCCAGGGAGTTGTTTGAGAGTCGCCTGGGGGCCCAGATGGGTCGGCAGGGTTCATAAGGTGGGGACCACACTCAGCTGACCCCAGGTCACGCTCACCCCCAAGCTTGGGCCCCCAGGTCCCTTCCGGGGCCCAAAGGCCTTCCTGCCCAGACCTCCGCAGGTGTGGCCCGGCCCCAGCCAGTGCCCAGGGGCTGAAGCCAGCCCTGTGAGCCAGAGGGCCAAAGCCCTCGGATTTCACCTGCGGGGCCCAGACGGAAGCCCCTCCTCTGCGTAGGTGCCCCAGGCCTGGGGTAGCCGTGTCCTCGAGACGGGGGCGGTCGGCTGGGCCAGGCGGGACTCCAGCCCTAGAGCCCACCTGCCCTGGAAACAGCAGGGGCCGCAGCCTCCTGGCAGAGGCGGGAGGGGTGGGGGTCTGCCCCACTGGTCCTGTGACATTTGCCACGAGCTCTGAGTCCAGTGAAGCCTCTGCCCAGAGTGGACAGGAGGCAGGCAGAGGGGCTCTTCAGCAGGTCTCACGTTCCCTGTGGCGATCCTCGCTGCCTGCCACCGTGGGCCTCAAGCGCGCTCCTCCGGGTCAGGGCCAGGCCAGGGGAGCCCCGCGAGCACGCCCGTGGCCGCACCCAGGTGACGGGGGTGGGGTGCCCAGCAGGCCCTTCGTGGGCCGTGGCATTCCTACCCAGCCCTGCGCCAGCCTGTGGAAGCTGTGGGCACCCACCCTTCCTTCCGTCCGGGCCCAGCTGCTCAGGCCAGGCGGGGGGCCAGCTGGGCTTCCCGCCCCAGCCCACTCCCACAGGCTGTGTTCCCGTCCAGGATGCACCTGCGCAGCCTCTGGCCCCCAGCTGGGCCGGCTCTGGGGCCGCACCAGGAGCGGAAGGCCAGACGTGGGGTGAAGCACCCCAAGGGTGCTGGGGCCAGGGTCCCAAGAGCTGCCAGGCCGCCCCGAGTGCCCGCCAAGTCTTCCTCTGCAAGGGGGAGGCTCTGGAACTGTGGAGGCGGGGGCGTCGCGGGGCTGCAGCTCGGGCTCCCAGGCCCTGAGCAGACACGGGAGGCGGCTCCCCGCCACCAGCCCAAGGCGGCTGCAGGCCCAGGCCCCGGCCAGGCCCAGGTGAGCGCTCCGGGAACAGTGCCTCTGGCGGATCTGGGCGCATCCCGGGGGGCGGGGAACCTGAGGCCCAGGTGCAGCCGGGCCTCGTCCCGAATGACCGCGGCTCGGGCACTGCCCACAGCAGTGGCCAGGGAGCTCCCCATGGCGCTTCACGGGGGGCAGAGTCCACGGGGGCCCCTCCTGGGCCTACCCTGTTGCAGAGGCGGTCCCTCCCGGGAGATGCACGCAGACCTGGGGGTGACCAGGTGTCCGCACGTCCTGCCTGATGGGTGCTGGTGACTTGTGGCCCCAGGCCCCTCCCCGGCCCTCCTGGTCTGCCAGCCGAGGCTCCAGACCTCATGGTGGCTCCCTCCTTGGAACCCCGACCACCCTGGATACAAACGATGCAGACGTCGCCATCTGGGGGCCCCAGTGCCCTGGGCCTGGCACAGCCCACAGGCAGAGCCCCCCACACATCCCCCACAGCCCCCCAGTTCCTGGCCCTTCCTCCGCACCCCACGCAGGGCAGGTCTGGAGCCAGGAAGCCTGGAGCTCCTGACGCCATCAGCGCTTTCCCAGCAACCTGGGCCCCCAACAGAACCCGGGGCCTGTGGGCTCGGAGCCCCCACTGAGGGACCCCCTTAGACAACCAGGCCTCCCCGAGCCCGGGACGCCCCCCACCTCCCAGCCCCACGGAGGCGGCCGGCACAGCAGCAGGAGGGTGTCTGCCCCTCGCTGCCCGGGGTCCAGGGTGGTGCCTCCCCTCCGGCTGCCTCAAGCAGGGCCCGGGTGCAGCACAGAGCCTCTGGCTGCCGTGGGACGGCCTCCGGCAGGGCAGCAGCAGACGGGGTTCCGAGCATCCCCAGACGAGGCCCTGACCTGGGAGGGGTGCTCCCGTCACCCCACACCAACAGGATCGCTCCGTGTGCCAGGTGACACAGCTGGGCCGTGGGGTCAGTCTCTCCACACGAGGAAGAAAGGCTGACTGCTTGGGCGCTGTGATGAGTAGAGGTGGCTGGTTTTTTTCTTTATAATTTTATATATTCTCAAGATTATCTCTGAGATATACTTCTACAATCACCCACCAAGCCTCACGGGGCCCTCCCCAAGCAGAGCAGCACCTGCCCGGGCCGTGCCTCCCACCACGCAGGCAGACGGCCGGCCCCCCCAACATGGACCCCCCCCCCAGGCCCTGGGACACCACCTCGCCCGCGGGCTCCGGGGTCAGCTGTCCTTCCGGCACAGCCAGACCCTGGAAGCAGCAAGTGTCCTGTTCATGGTGACCCAGAAAAGCCCAAGCCGATGTGTTACAACACTTTTAATACATTCAAGAGTATTTAACAGAACAAAACTTAGGGCATTGTCAGTCAGCAGAAGCCTGTGGTCAAGAGGAAGCCCCCGGGTCCTTTTGCAGGAAGTTTGTGCTTGGCGGGAGGAGGCAGGCGGCCCCTGGCACGCTGGCTGCAGGCAGGCTGGGTCCCAGGCCGTCCAGGCCGCCCCTCACAGCCGGCAGTCCCGACGGGCCTCCTGCAGTCTCCTCATGGGACCCCCGTGTGGACCGAAGGCCTGGCCACATGGGCTGTCATCAGAGGCAGCAGGGCCCCCGGGAGACCCCCTTGCAGCTCCACCAGCCCTGGGCTGAAGCCAGGCCCTCCTCCAGGGGACGCCGGGGCCCCCGGCCCTGCAGCAGGCGCCCCCAGGGACAGCCAGCGGCCTGCAGACCCAGGGAGGTCTCCGTCGGACAGGAAAGCGGCCCCCACTTAATAAATAGACTCAATCGTGGCCACAGGCCGGGCACGCAGGCTGCCGTTAGCGTGCGGGAGAGAGGAGCCGAGGGGAGAGACGTGGAGGGCGGCCCTTCTCCCTGACGGCCACCGGGTGGGCACAGTGGCGCCCGCAGATGCGAGGGCAGGCTGGGCAGGGTGGCTGGCAGGTGTCCTCGGGAGCCTGGGCTCCGGCCGGGCGCTGCTCCACAGCTGACAACGGCGTTTCACCCAGAGCCTCTCACCCCATGGAGCCGCAGTGCCCGCTGCGCGGCTGCCTCCTTGCCCCAAGCCCCCCGGGGTGCAGGCCGCCCTTCCGCCTGCCAGTCTGGGTTCTGGACACGGGCCACCCCAGCGGCTCCTGGGCCCCAGGATGGGCCAAGGCTGGTCATCAGGATGTGGGCCCGGCCTGCAGAGCTAAGGCACTTTTGTCCACCCCGCCGGAGGCGGGCCATGTCCAAGCGCTGCAGGGGCTGAAGCCGCAGTGTCTGGGCCTCAGCTCACTCAGCTCTTCCTCCGTTTCTGGCGACGCTGGTCCTGTTTCCCCGCCTCACGTCTGGACGCTGTTTCATCGCTATGCTTACTAAAACGATTTAACAGTGGTGCTGAAAACAGGAGCCCCTCCCCCAATATTGCTCGTAAGAAACACACTTTCTAGCCCAAGAACCGCTTGTGGAGGACTCCTCTGTTAGGACCCTGAAGCCAGCACCGGGTTTCCAGGCCCCTGGGGCTGGAGGGCAGCGGATGTGTCTGCACGCGGGAGTAGGGGCAGGAGGCAGGCAGTTCCCGGCAGGCCCCTGGTTCTCGGGTGGGCAGCGAGGTGCTTCCCGGGGCTGTGGGCGCAGGAAGCCCAGTGCCCTGGCTGGCGGAGGACGAGCCTCCCGCCACGGCTCCGACCTGGGTGGGTAAGCGGGTCGGGCCGCAGGCCGAGTCCCCGCGGGGCAGGCAGCTGGGGCACAGGGAGCTTGCCGGGCCCCATGACGGGCGGCAGGCGTTCAGGTCTCGAAGTACTTGTAGATGGCGGTCACGTAGAGCATCACACTCTGCCAGTCCGGCCGCTCTGTCCGCACCATCTCGCTGATGTCCTGACGGGAAGCAAGTGGCCGTTAGAACCTGGGCGGCCCATGGGCTCTGGGCCCCACCCCGCCTGTCACACAGGCCAGAGAGCAGGACGTGGCCACATCCCCGCCGGGTGCCCAGGGCTGCCCAAGGCCCAACGGGGCTCATCCCCACACATGTGCGCCGCCCAGGCCCGCCGCACAGCCCCCAGCCGTGACCCCGAGGCCTGCAGGTGCTGCTGGGAAGCGGGCGGGGGCCTGAGCTCTGAGCCGGGCCTCCCAGGCCCGCTGGAGGGCTGGGGGTGCAGGGCACAGACGAGTGTGGGGCTGGCCGGACGGGGAGAAGGAACACGCGCGTATCCAGTGGAGGAGCCTCAACGGGAAGCTTTCAGGGTGGGGGACTGCCCGCTTCTTGGACATCAGAACTTTACACGTGGCGTGAACCTTCCAGATAAGGGAACCATCACATAACCATACTTCTGTCTACGTTTACAACCGAATAGAAGCCACTCAAAACCATGTGCTTCTGTGAGATCGCAAGACAGATTCATGGAATTCTGCGTGAACACTCCTGCAAGGTAAAGATGAGTGTAAACACTCGTTCAAAGCTATCGGTTGCTACAAGGCAGGTGACAGGTACCCTCGGGCTGGGAGGTAGCATGGGGGGGCTCCTGACTGGCCCCATGGGGTCCCTCGCTCTGCGGATACCCTAAGCTGTGCGTCTCTGGGTGTGGGGAGGCCGGCTTTGTACTTGGATGCAGCGTTTTCTCCCTTGAAGTCAAACTTGCTGACGAGGCAGGAGCCCCCACAGAACAGTCTGTCCCGAGCACGGCAGCCCTGCCCCGCCCTGACTGCATCCCCGGGCGCCCCGTGCTCTGGGCCCCCGCCCTCCACTGGGGCACAGGCCGAGCTGCTGGGGTGCGCCTCTGATGGTGACCCTGACCACTCCCAGCCAGGGCGCGGCCTCGGACGCTCCATGTGAGGCACGGGGCGCACGGGGCGGGCTGTCCGCACCCTCCCGGGTCCCCACAGCTGGCACCGCCCCCGAGCGCCTCGGGCCCCGCCCGGCAGCCCCCTCAGGGTGAGGCCTCACCAGTGTGGACTTGATACCGACGCTCTCGGCCGCCTGGAAGGCCAGCGTGAAGTTCCTCCGCTGGAAGAGAAGCCGCAGGACAGCTGTGTGAGCAGGCCAGGGACGGCCACCAGCCCACCCACGCCTGCCGCGCTGACCGCCGCCCCGGGCCCTCCCGCCCCTCTGCCGACCGGCTGTGCAGTGACCCCCAACAGGCCTCAGACCGGAGCTGCCTGTACACCCCCAAAGCTAATAAGAAACACTTGTGAAACAGTTTCCCCTTGTGGGGGTCTTCAGAAGTCATCTGAAGGGCAGGAGGGGCCCTGAGGCGGGGCTCTGGGGGCAGTAGAAGGCTTGGGCTGCACTGAGCCTGTCTTTCCGGGGGATGGTCTTGATCCCTGCCTCCTGTACAGTGTCATGAACCTCTGTCCATAGCTCTTCAGGTGTTCTATCAGATCGAATCCCTTTCCACAGGACTGGAAAAGGTCAGTTTTCATTCCAATCCCAAAGAAACGTAATGCCAAACAATCTTCAAACTACCGCACAATTTCACTTATCTCACACACTGACAAAGTAATGCTCAAAATTTTCTAAGCCAGGCTTCAACAGTACATGAACCATGAACTTCCAGATGTTCAAGCTGGATTTAGAAAAGGCAGAGGAGCCAGAGATCAAATTGCCAACATCTGCTGAATTACTGAAAAAGCAAGAGAGTTCCAGAAAAATATGTACTTCTGCTTTATTGACTATGCCAAAGCCTTTGACTGTGTGGATCACAAGAAACTGTGGAAAATTCTGAAAGAGATGGGAATACCAGACCACCTGACCCGCCTCTTAAGAAACCTGTATGCAGGTCAAGAATAGTTAGAACTGGACATGGAGCAATAGACTGGTTCCAAACCGGGAAAGAAGTATGTCAAGGCTGTATATTGTCACTCAGCTTATTTAACTTATATGCAGAGTAAATCAAGAGAAACGCTGGGCTGGAGGAAGCACAAGCTGGAATCAAGATTGCCAGGAGAAATATCAGTAACCTCAGATATGCAGATGACACCATCCTTATGGCAAAAAGCGAAGATCCAACCAGTCCATCCTAAAGGAGATCAGTCCTGGGTGTTCATTGGAAGGACTGATGCTGAAGCTGAAACTCCAGTACTTTGGCCACCTGATGAGAAGAACTGATTCACTGGAAAAGGCCCTGATGCTGGGAAAGACTGAAGGCAGGAGGAGAAGGGGACGACAGAGGATGAGATGGCTGGATGAGCATGAGTCTGAGTAAACTCTGGGAGTTGGTGACGGACAGGGAGGCCTGGCGTGCTGCAGTTCGTGGGATCATAGAGCTGGACACGACTGAGCGACTGAACTGAACTGAACGGGGCCAGCCTGGCTGGATGGGGAGGAGCCTGTGTCATCGGCCAGGGGGTGGACCGGCAGCCCGCCCCCGCGCCCCCACGAGGCCCCGCCCCGCACGCGCGTGCCCGCACCTTGTCCTGGCTGCTGAGCTCCTGGTAGGGGATGTGCGCGGGGAGGTAGGTGTGCAGCAGGGCACAGAAGGCCAGCCCGTCGTTCCAGCTGCTGCTGAAGTTGGTGATGTCGATGTTCTGCAGGGAAAGAAGGAAACACGTGAGTGACACCCCTCCCCGGCGTCTCAGGTCACGGCGGAGCGGGCGGACGCTGTCAAGTCCAGGCAGGCCGAGCCTCTGCAGAAAGCTCGGTGGGCCGGGGCCCAGGCCCACTGGTGTCAGGGGCCGAGGGAGCGGCAGCTCTGTGTCAGGAAGAGCTGAGTCCAGCCGCCCCGCACCCCGACTCACAGGATGACCCCACCTCACAGCGAGGGCGGCGGCCGCCAGTCTGCAGAGGGAACACCCAGAGCCGCCGGCACGGGCGGCAGGCCCCACGGCGCGTGTGCAAGGGTCAGCTCGGCTCTGACAAGTGCCCAGCTCCATGTCCAGGAGGCACTGTTCCCAACTATAGACGTGATGTGTCCCTCAGAGTATCTTATTATATGACAGAGCAGGTCAGCTAGAGATTAGCCTTTACCTTATTTGCAAGAATCCTTTTGAAGCAGAAACTACACAATTACATTTGGAAATTCACCCCCTTTATGAAAATACCATGAACTAAAGAAAGAGCGTCCCGACGTGGCAGGTCCTGGGTGCTGTCTGCGGGCCGCCCTCCTCGGGGACACCCGGGCACCGCGCCCCTTCCCTGAGCAGCGGTCACAGGGCAGTGCCCTGCATCTGCAGGGAGCTCCAGCAAGGCTGCCCGCCGACCCCCACACAGGCTAGTTCCTGACCCCACAAAGGGCCCAGGGACCAGGTGGGGCTCCTGACAAAAGCCACAGAGGGTGGACACAAGCTCTGTCACCAAAAGGAGCCATCGGGCCTTGACTGCAGGCACCAGGACGCTGCCTGCTGGGGGTGATGAGCCGGAGGTCACTCCCCCAGTGGCTGCCAATCCAGCCTGGAGGCCTTGTTCGTAGGCCGTGCTGATGGAAGCGACCAGGTCGTGGTGACAAGGGGGTACAGACCTGCCGAGAGCTCCAGGGTGAGTGCGGCAGTGTGTGGTGGGCCCGCCACGGCCAGAGAAGGGCAGAGCCAGCCCCCCACGCCGAGGTCCGGAAGCCCCACATCACCGGTCCCCACGAAAGTGGGGACCCCCCAGCGGGCTTGCTGCCCTCACAGCCTCTGCTCTGCCTGCCACCCCCACAGCCAACCTGCCCCTCTGCCCTCCCGGGGATCTCAGGACGCAGCCAGTGGGAGAAACACAGACAGGAAGGAGGCCACCTGTCTACGGCCCCTGGGGGGCAGGGCCCCCGCGTTCCCACACACCGGTGCACGCTCCCCGCGGAGGCCCGGGTCACAGGACCCCCAACGGGACTCCTCCGCCCAGTCCTGGGGGCGTGGCCCCGACCAGGGAGCCAGGACACAGGCAGCCCAGGGGCAGCAAGGATGGAGCGCCTGACGACGTGTCCAGCTCCACACGGGCCAAGGCCTGCGGCCGGCCGCTCACGCAGGCCTGGAGGAAGCATGCCCCACTTCCTGCCCAGCGACCGGCCGACCTGGAGCCGCCTACGTGCCTGGCCTCAGCGGCTGCAGCAGAGACCCGGCTCCGCCGGAAGCAGCTGGGCCCGCAGTCCGGCAGCAGCGGGTACGCAGCTGATCAGAACCTTCAAAGCCCCGAGCACAGACGCACGCAGGGCACTCTGCCCACCCCAGGAGCGTCGCCGGGCCCCGCAGGCAGCTGGCCTACCTGTCTCAGCTCCCGCAGACTCACCTGAGGCACCACCCTGCCCGCAGCCCTCCTGAGCTCAGACGCAGCCTGTCCCCCTGCAGTGGGTGGGACCCACCTCCGTGCACTGACGCTGGGTCGGGGGGAGGGGGGGCGGTCTGCGGGCCGGGAAGCTATACAAACAGTGTGTCAGAGAACATCTTAACACGTTGTCACTTGTCGTTTAATTAAGGGCCACAAAACGCACCCCCAGATACCACACAGTGGTGGTTCAGACAGTACACGTTCTGCTTGCAGTGCAGGAGACACGGGTTTGGTGCCTGGGTCGGGAAGATCCCCCAGAGAAGAGCACGGCAACGACTCCAGTACCGGGCGGGCTACATGCAGTCCAGGGGGCTGCAGAGAGCCGGACACGCTTGGGCGGCCGACGCTTTCATATTCAAGGCAACGGGCCTGAGCCCATGGTTGCCTCTGCAACACACAGCCTCCTCCGCCGGCTCAGCCATCACGCGCGGTCTCCCACCAACCACTGTGCCTGGCGTCGGGAGGCAGGAAGGAGCCACAGACAAGCCTCTGCCAGGGGCCGCCAGGCCTCAGCCCAGGCCGGGGGGCAGCGTGTGGGGATGTCAGGGCCTGGGTGCGGCTGGCGGGGAGGCGGGGCCCAAAAAGGGAGAACCGGCAGGAGGCAGCTCTGTGGCTCCGGGTGACCCCCGAGTGACGGTCAGCAGAGGCCCCGCTGGCCCCGGAGGAGCAGCCGTGGTGCTGGGCGCACGTCTGCCCGGGCCCTTGGCCAGGCTCTGCTCCGGGTCAGGGGAGGGAGGCCCGTGTGTCATGACATCCACGTCGAACTCGCATGTGAAGTGGAGGCAGGAAGAGATGCAGGGCGGGCGGGGCGGGAGGGCGCTGGCCTGAGGACACAGCGCCTGCACCCTGTGGGGGTGGGGCAGCAAGGACCCTGGCCCCTACTGAGCCTCCGCACGGCCGACTGGGCCTGCCCTCGCCCGGGGAGCCAGCCGGTCGGTCCAGCACAGCTCTCCAAGGTTCCGGGGGCCCAGTGTGCGGCCTACAGGCAGGCCCACTGCCCTGAAGGCGTCAGCCAGCCGGACCCCACTCGGGACGCCGCCCGCTGGGGAGCTGGGCCAGGATGGAGCGCTGGGCAGAAGGCCCCAAGGCGCCCATCTGAGGACAGGGCTTCCCGTGCCAGGCAGCCGAGCGGCTCCAGCCAGTGACCGTGCTCCGCACTGGCCCCACCCCTGCCTGGACGGATGGATGCACTCAACCCCACAGCTTAGGGCTTCTGCCCGATACCTGAGCCAGGGGCAGATGCAGCCAATTCACCCCGGACAGAGCTGTGAGGCTAGCCTCCCCAAGCCCAAACACAGACGCTCTGGACACACCGTCCCGTTCCTTCGAGACAGACACCGAAAGGAAACAATGCAATGTGCGAACCTTATTTGGATCTTAACTCAAGCAAATCAACTGTAAAGCTGACCAGGATCCAACTGGGAACTCTGAACTCTGTCCAGACGTGTGTGCGCGCGCGCACGCTCAAGTCGCTCAGTCGTGTCCAGCTCTTGTAGCCCACCTGGCTCCTCCGTCCATGGGACACCCCAGGCACAAATACTGGAGTGAGTTGCCATACCCTTCTCCAAGGGATCTTCCTGACCCAGGGGTGGAACCGGGGTCTCCCGCATTATGGGCAGATTCCTTACCACCTTAGCCACCAGAGAAAGTGTCCAAACGAGTGGTGATGTTAAATGGAATCCCAGGGGTGGGGAGTAACCAGGACACCTGGGCCTGGGGTGTGTCCCCAAGGGTCATTTTACTGTTCCCACTGCTTTAGCACAACATACGTAAAAATTTCCATGAGAAACAAACAAACCTACAACTCAACAGCAAACAACCCAATGGTGCAAACGTGGGAAAGGGCAGAGCCCTGAACCAGTGTGTCTCCAAGGCTGATGGACGACAAGCAGCGCAAGAGAAGAAGCTGGAGGCCGCTGGTAACCAAGGAACTGCAGGCCAGAACCCAGACTGTGCCGCACCACTGCCTCCCCCGCCAAGCTGCACGGCACCCTGAGAGCTGGAAACCCCAGAGGCTGGGGACGGCTGCACGGCACCCCGAGAGCTGGACCCCGCAGAAGCTGGGGACGGCTGCACGGCACCCTGAGAGCTGGAAACCCCAGGGGCTGGGGACGGCTGCACGACACCCTGAGAGCTGGACCCCGCAGAAGCTGGGGACGGCTGCACGGCACCCTGAGAGCTGGAAACCCCAGGGGCTGGGGACGGCTGCGCGGCACCCTGAGAGCTGGACCCCGCAGAAGCTGGGGACGGCTGCGCGGCACCCTGAGAGCTGGACCCCGCAGAACCTGGGGACGGCTGCATGGCACCCTGAGAGCTGGACCCCAGAGAGCAGAAGCTGGCGACGGCGAGAAGCCAGAGCCCTGTTCTGGCTGCTGCGGGGCAGGGAGACGACCCCTGGCCACACACACAGAGCGCCACCAGGGGCCCCAGGAAGGCGCCGAGAAGACCCAGACAGCATGGACACAAGTCCCCACGGGAGCGTTCACAGCAGCACGAGAGCCGGCAGCGGAAGCAACGCCAACGTCTGCCAACCAGGAAACGGACATGTAAAACGGGGTGCGCGCACAGGACGGAGGAACAGTGCAGGCTACAAGCCGGATGTGTCTGGAAAGTCATGCCCGACCCCGGGCCATGGGCCAGGCTCTGCAGAGGCTGCTCCAGAGCTGGCTTAGGAGCACCCTGAAGGGAAGGAGAGAGGATCCAGAGGCCTCAGTACAGAATGGGCTTTACAACACAAGCTTCATCTTCTAAACACGAAGCCTGCTGAAAATAAGACACCACTTTACAAAGCCAGAGAACGTACACCTGGGCTTGTTCAAACACCTTACGTCTGAGAAAGAGAGTCCATGCAAGGCAGAGGCTCCGGCCACAGCCCTGGGCCCAGCGGGGAGAACACCACGCGAGAGGAGGCAGCCTGGAAGCTCCGCATCTCCTCTCTGCCTGACCAGGCTGCCCGCAGGGCCCCAAGGGGGGCGGCAACGCGGGGACAGAGCCCCTCAGCACACGCACCTGGTCAGGAGCCCACTTCACGGCCTCCAGCGGCAACCGCTGCTCTTCCCCATCTTTCAGCGGCTCGTTCTGCACCGACCAAGGGCACCCGTCCAAAGGGGCGTGGCTCCCTGGACCCTCGGCGGGGTGTAGCCCCCACTCCTGCCCCCTCCCGGGCTCCTGACTCCCGCTCCGCCCCCCACGCCCCCCGTCCTGGTTTCAGCTTGCACACAGGTCAGCTGTTGGTGTAACAGGGGTCAGGACACAGCCAGAGAGGCTGAGGGCCGCGAGGAGGAGG